TCGACGACTAGATTAGAAATGTCTGTTTCAAAGCGCGTTTGCGTATTGTAGTCAATGACGTAGGCGGACACGGACTGCGTGCATTAAACTACTATTCGATTAAAGGCTTATGATACGAATAGTGGCTTATTATAAAATACTGGCGAACATTAGACAAGGAAAGAGAAACATATCATTAGTAATGTAGTTACATTCTTTATGTGTATATTTCATAATCAAACTTAATCCCAAACTCATATTTCCTGTATGCCAGGATGCCCACCGGTTCATATCGCCGTATCACCAGTCATCAGAACCTGGAGAAGAATTCAGCAAAGTTCTGCAAGACACGGGATTCGAAGTGATTGACTGTGAATGCAGAACAAATGAGTACAACTATAACACTGTTGGCTGCCTTAAAGGTGACTCAAGCAAATGACTTCATGTTTTAAATTGCACAAAAAGGGTAATATTCGTTCACATGTGCAAATCTCTGAACCTGGAAAAGTTATGAACTGTCTAACAACAGTTTCATTATAACGTATGGAAATTTAAACCGCAATGAAATTACGTAGAATAAATTAAAGGTATCTTTTGTTTTAACTTTTGTTGTATTTTCTTATTATGGAATTCAGCAAAAAAATTAGAAGTAGAAAAAAAGAAGTTGGAGGAGCTGGGATTTGAACCCAGGACTTTCTGCATGCGAAGCAGACACTCTACCACTGAGTTACACCCCCGATGATGTTATCGTATGCTTTCGCGTTATATATACTGCTTAGCCATCTAGTGAGACATATCGTTATTAACATGTATTCTTCTTTTCTAAAAAACTAGATTCCCTGAGGGCAGTCAATCCGTTTCTTGACCGGATACCAACAGAACTACATGAAGAATATCTAGCAGACTGTTTAATGGAAGCAATAAAAGTAACAGAAAGAAATAACAATATCGGAGCCGAGGTTACTTCAATTAGATACGAACTCATTGTCGCGTACGCAAGAAAAACGTGAATGCGTCTGCCACCTGTTGGTCGCTATACGAGATTCTGACCGAGCTCGACACCTCGGTTGGTAATAGCGTAAGCATTTGTGGACATAACATTGACTGCATTCGGCCTAAATTTTCATGCGTGAAATTTACAACCCTCATCATGCAAAGAACCTGCACACGAAATAAGAACGTGACGTGTGAGATTTTTGTAAAGAGCTGCCTCTTATCGTAATATTTTTTACCTAATTCAGTTATTAAGAACTCTTGACACCTTGATTAAAAACTTTGGAGACAGAAGAGCTCCCAGGCTTGAAGTTATAGCAAGCAAGTTATTACTACAACAAATGACAAAATGTGCTAGCAGACTAGTTCGAATATTCAACAAGACACAACACATGACTACAAATTACCATCCGGTCTGCGTTTGTAGTTAACAGCAAACAACCGATTATTTCGAATGTTCAATAACAATAAATAACAATCAGCTAGCCTATAGACTAAGAAAGGCAATTACATTCCTTTCCATCTGATTTTTCATCGGGACCCAAATATTTTCAACAAGAAAGAAACCAAAATTAAACACTGCTAATCGACTTAGCAGAAATCTTAATATGTGCCTTCTTAATACACAGTGAAAATGTTAACATTTCTTCTTTGAAGTGTAAATAAAACTTATCCTTCCAGTACAACATCCAAAAATAGTATAATTCTCTGCAATGCGTGCTTTATGCAAGACTCTGTTACAAAGAACCACTACACTACGGCTTGTATTATTTTCGAAGCCCGGGGCATTGTCATTCTACTCACGTTTCTGTCTCTAAAGTAGATGCTTCCATCTCCTGTTCCAATAAACCTTAAATCCATTTCTGCATTAACTAATGTATTATACAGTATCGGTATACATTTTCCATCTCTCAAACAAGAGGCATCCATTTCCCTAAACCATCATTCCATCCGCAAAGGATTTAGCGCCACCGGAATAAATAATCTGACTAATAAAGAATGCTTAAGAACGATTTCCTGATGGTATTTGTCCTGTTTCTGATTTATCCTAGGATACGAAGGCTATTTCCGAGATCATCTAAGGCCAAGTTTCAGTTATTGAAACCACTTATGATCTCGTGTATTGGTTGATCCAATTAATTTATGATGCTGTATCAAACCGAGTTTAAAACCTAAAAGCACAGGATTTGCTACATGTACCAATGGCTTTGCATTTAGTGCACTGGGTGTAGTTATTGATATCGTATGATTCTTCAAATATACAGTGATGACTTCCCTTCGTATTATTAACAAATTTATCTTGGTAATGGAGACGCGTTGCGTCTGTTTGTGGCAGGAACTAAATTTTTAAATAGTATTTAGATAAGCTTCGTCGGATGTGGAAGGTGATGACGTAAACCTATTTCAAGATACTTTACCAGAATTTGCTCAGAAGAGATGAAGAAACTACGGGAAAATATCAGGACAGTCAGAATGCAAGTTACACGCTTTACTGCTACGCCAGTCAGCTAGATAACAAACATGCGCGGAAACATTCGCTGCGACTTCACGGCGTAACTTTGGGTCTGTGGTCTCTAACGTCACTACTCTTTGTAATTTTTACTCTCCTACGCACCTTTCTGGAGAAAAATACTCAATTAATACTGACATATTTGGGCTTTGTCCATAATCCTATATGATACAAATGAACACTATGTTTCGGGCACTAAATATGCTCCGTCTTCAGGTGAGGGATGCCGGCTCAGATCGGTCTACTAGAAAGGGCTAATCCAAAGCACTATCAACACACCCATCGCACCCTGTCATTTTTGCTGCCTGATAGTCAGTTACTTTGACTCCTATTGAAAAACAGACAATTTTGTACACAATGGGCAGTTCAGGAGACAAGCAATGTCACCAACTTTACATCTTCTAATATATCAAGAATTCCACAATAATTTCCCTACTCTGTTCTAGCTGAGGGAAACTTTCTGTTCTTTATATATTTTTAAAACCTCCTGACCCCTCATTGATCTCTGATCTACCTGCATCTTCACTCAAAACATCAAACTGTAATATATATTTCGTAATTTTCATGCAATAATTTTAACAATACAGCAGAGCACTAATTATGTACGGTAACTGGGGAAAGCAGGGGCCCAGGAGATTGAAAAATATGGTTATGCAAATTATATTTTATTAGAAACTTACACAAGTATATATTTGTGCATAGAAAAATTTATTCGCGTTTCAAAACGTAAAAAGTGGCGATGAATCAAATTGCACTCAATATAAAGTGTTTTGAGCAGTTACGAAAAATACAGTTACATATTAGAGACAATATGAGATCACAGATAATTAACGCCACGGGCAATTGGCCCCTGCATAATTGGCACTCTGCTGTATAACGTATCTATTGTACCACTGTCCAAAAAAGCCAATTTCTAATTGCAATAACCACTGAGGTGTTAATATGCAAATGCACACAAACGTACTTCATCCTCATGAAACCACCAACAGTAGGAGCACAAATGGCACAGCTAACTCAGTACAAGGAAGGAAACATGGGTTTCAATCCTGGCAGTGGCCAGACAAGCTCTGGGTCCTACCAGCTGCCTTCCAAGTGGGTAGTTGAAAAGTTTCCCCAGGGAAAAAAGTGACCAGGGCGTGAAGCTGATCACTCCTTCCAGAGTTGAGGTTAGGAATGAATGGAGCTTAGACACAAGAAAAACTTCACTTTACCCTACACATTTACACACATAATGAAATGAGTTGTAAGCTCTTTGCCCAAGGGTAAAGTGACCAGATTATGAAACTGACCAATCACCTCCACTCAGTGCCAAGGTTAAGACTCTGTGGAGATTTACCTCCATTACCCTTAACCATCAACATGGGATGTTGCTAAGGCATAAGGACACCCTTACCATTTACCTCAACAGACTAATGAAAGTATTTTTATTGATAAAAAAGTTACTTTGTGCATAAAAGTCTGATTCTGCATAACCCAACATTGTACAATCCCTTAACATTTTGCACCTGATATAAATAATACACATGCATGATGCCTGCACACAACTGTGGCTTCAAATTTCTCTCCAAATTTTATTTACTTCCAACTCTCTAACTTTGTTTTACTATCACAACAACATGCCTTCTTATTACTTATTCTAAAAAAATAAGATCTTATTCATTGTAACTAAAAATGAATTTCTATAAATATGACAACAAGAAATCTAACTACAATTACCTTTTCCACAACTTAATAATAACATACAGCTCTAAAGTATGGTCATTAAGAAAGAAACAACAAACAACGGAAAACGAAGAAATTAAATTCCTCAAAAATGTTTGTCGAAATACATTAAAGAATCAAATCAGACATAAAAGGTTTTGAAACTAACTGAATTTAATTTAAATAATCAATTTAGGAACAACAGAACTCACTTGACACACCAGCTGACAGAACGGAACATCATCAAACACCTAGACAAATTATGAATTACATACTGAAAGAAGAAGACTCAATGAATACCCAAAACTAAAGGTGGAGGATGGAACGGACTTAAAGACCCTGACCTCGATGCTGACGACAAATACTGCACACTGCACGCATCCATGGGTGGCTTCTAAAAACAATCTTAGAAGAATATCGAAATACCCAAAGACAGATGAAGTAACAGGAACGGAGAGAACTACATAAGAAAGGAGCTTCTCAGATTGTACATTTCACTTGTGCTTAAGGTTAATTAAATTAAGAAGGTTGCTACAGTCAAGCTATGTAGTACTCATGTAAGAATGGAATGCGTAACAAATTTCAATTAAAAGCATTATGGGGCCAGAGAACTGGGGAGACCCAGGCATAAATTGGAGAGAAATAAAAAAAAGTCTCAAATAAACTGACTGTGATGATTTTTCTCAGAAAAGGATTAAATGGAAGGCTTTTGAAATGACAGGGGTAAACTTTCAGGTTCCATAACAAAAGGAAATATCTCATAAACTATATGACCATCAACTGCTCAAAGCATTTGTAGCATAGAGGACGATATACAGTTAATGTGGAATGGAAGATACAGAAACACACAATGTAAACACAATTACGAGGGCATACAATAATATACATACCAGTCACCAGACATTTCTTAAATTAAGAAATGTATAATACTTTATTGCTGTTTAATATAATTATGGAGATGAAGTATATAGTCATAACAACATTATTCTTTAGAGAATTTTCAACAAGCTTATAAAATATCCATTACTTGCAAACAGTGCATAATGTTAATCAGCGTAATTACTTCTCCAGTAATCCAAACAGAGGAACAGGCATTAAAGAACTTTACAGTAAACGTGTGGCAATATTTTGTTTGTGAATGATATCCACTGAGTAATTACTGTAATATATGAATAAATACATGCATAAATAATACACTAAATTTTTTTTATGAAATGTGCAAGCCTGCATAAACAATAAAGTTCTTCAAGCCAAACATATATACTAGCAAGTTTAACAAGTTGATAGAAACTATTACCCTATTTTAATTATCACGATATGTAAGGTGATGACAATTACTTCACAAAAAAAATTTATCTGTGGAATCCTCTTGGTCTCAAATACTGACAGAGCCTCCAACCAAAACTATCAGTCACTAAATTCTTTACTTAGAGTGATCCTAAATGTTGCCGACACTGGTTTTGGAACATTATGGGAATAATTTCTTTGAACGTTACCTACTGTCTGAATAACGAAGATGTATATTTCATCTTCAGGTAGAAGAAACGATACCAATTTTGTGAGTTCAGAAGAAAAACCTGGTATATGATCAGGTACAAGAAAATGGTACCAATTATGTAGATAATAACGATTCACTTTCATGTAGTGTGAAATGGTACCAAATCTGTGGATCCATTAGACAAATATGATCCATTTTCAGACAGAAGGAAATGGCACACTCTTTGTAGGGGCATTACATACAGCTGATTTGTTTTAAGACAAGACAGAATGAGATGGACATGAACTCAGTCTCCAAAACATTACACATTTCTTCTATTCACATAATAGAAGAATGTTGAAAGAAAGCATTCTTGCAAAAATTGCTGTAGTGCAAAATCAGAAATAATGTCAGAATCTAATAACTAGAACTGACATGCACCTTAACCCTCACTGATATTGAAGGACTTTATATCAATGAAACATTGTTCAGCTAATCTGTTAACATACGTTGAATATCTGCTCATTCTGATGAATTATAATTAACATACGTTGAAGATGCAGAATATCTGCTCATTCTGATGAATTATATACTTCCATGGCTTTGAAATGTGACCAGATGAAAGTAAATAGTTTCATTATAAATCAACAGATGTAGTTCATCTGTAAAATAGCATCAATTATGAAGTCTTAATTCAATCTGTGCATTATGACTACAATCTGAATGTACTGTACGGTAATCACTTAAGTGCTAAATAATGAAAGATAAATCTTCTAAAATATATCATTCATAATCAGAATGCATTTTTAAAGTTACTCTACCACATTTTCATGGACCAGAAAATGAAACTAAAAGATTTAATATGGGATGAAATTAGTTTAGAAGATGATTTTCTAGGTTGGCATTACAGAAAATAAATTGCAGAACTCCAGAGCGTCAAACACATTTTAGGGAATAAAGATATGAACGTACTGGGGGTGGGGGTGGGGGTTATATATAATAACAAGATCATGAAATGTGCACTTTGGAATTCCAAATGTGTTCTTTATGCCATCACCGGCAATGACATCAGCAGTGTGACACGGAATATGAAATTCAACAATGTTATCAAAGGCAACAATATATGAGGCCACTTTTGCAATAATTAGATCCAAGATCACTGTTGCAACATGATGAAAGATATGGCAGGCAGGCAAGCAGACAGACATGGGAGATTTTCTTCGCTTACGCTAATGTGTGAAGAACACCTAAAATAGATGGATTAATAATTATGTATTCAATAACGCTTTATGAACTGCTCCAGGTAATACAGCATTTAACGTGCAGATATGTCACAGTTCTCTGTTCCTCTTATCCTGGCCTATCATAGCAGCCTGTTGCAAATATCCTACTGATTACTAAATGAAATTCAACTCTTCTTCCACACACAACTTAAAGCAGTAACAAGATGATATTTACCTTAGTGAATAAAAATTACTCCCAGAATTATATGCTTTCTAACTGTGTTCAAAAAAACTTTGAAAACTACAGTACCACTAGCATCATCACTTCCATCCACCAACAAGTAGCGCACCTCAAAGGATTAATTCTGTTCATGCTTGGCAAGGCACAGCTATGCTAAATTTTGGAAAGCCTGATTTTGGTTAAGTACAGTTCATTTTAAGGGCAACTCTATTTACAGTCTTAAGTAAACTGGGGGGGGGGGGAGAGGAGAAGAATATTTAGACACTCCACAAATGCAGTATACTTTATTAGAAGTGATATAAAAACAAATGAATGCAAAATTTCATAACCAAGACCTTACTCTCTGCACAGCAGAATCTCATGACGATGCAATTGAAAACACTGAGGTGAGAGATTGAAACACTTTGAGCAAAAATGACTTAAAAACTGTTGTTCCAAGCAGCAACAACAAACCACGCTTGATGCAGAAAATCTAGGTTCAAGCACAGACCCCAGCAAAGTGCTTTGCTTTGACTAAAATGTTATATAGTTCCCTCTGAGATATGTTTGCAAACAACAGGGTCAGAGCAAAAGACTCTGGTAAATTTTTCATCACTCATGACCATTACTTACATCCCAATAAAGCATACAAATAATGCCTGAAAGAGGCACACATACTAGAAACAGGAGCAAAGCGCTATCTCTGATGTTATTCATACAATTTTAAGCAAAAGCAATGGCATATGAGTAAGAACAAATTACACAAGATGCTGCATAAGCCAATATCTTACTGAAGCCAGTGTCAAAGGGTTAAGGGCCACTTTTTAAGAGCCTAACTAAACTCACATATACTGCATTTTTCTAATCCTTCGAAAATTTACAAAATACTCAACAACAGCACTTCTACTTTTTAATCAACAACCAGTGACACTAATATACTAGCATTTACTTTAAAACCATATCAATCAAATTAATATCCCATCACCATCCCTTAATATCACCAGAAGTCCACTTATTGACATGGCCAGTACCTCCACCAACTCTATGTTATACTAAAATGTGAACCCAAATTACATGAGGTGTAGTAGGCCAATATACAATTTCTTCCATCACCCTTACTACTGAAACACTTTTATATAACCACACACAAGAAGCTGTGGTTAAAACTAAGATGTATGAGTAAAAACATGCAGATGTACAATATTTTAACTCAAACTTTGTCTTAAATATGGCTTTATCGAATTTATTATTTATGAAGCATGAAAATGTGCAAATTTAATCTCTTAATCACTAAACTGTGATATTTAATATATAATTACAAAATTTTAAGATTAAATTTCTTCAAATATTCTTTACCTACAAAGAAATGTGTTCTGAAGTCTTAATTCAAAATTTAATGCAATGTAAAACACCAAATTTCATGATGAAGAGCCCACAAGTCACCAATATTAAATTGCCTTAAAATAATTCTATTATTTATTATTAATTACTACACGGAGTCTCCATATTTTAAAATTAAAATTTTCTTCACTGGTACTAAAACTAAATTAAAATATTGGTTTCTTCATTCATATATGTTTGCTGAATACTATTCAACCATAAAAGACTCCACAAATATTGGATCAGTCAAATGACCTCCAAATTCATAGGACAACGCATAGCGATTCAATCCACATTCCCAGTGTATAAATGATTTAAAGGACTTGCACTTTTCAACCAACTGCATACAGTGCACACCTCACACCAAACTTGGTTCGTAAAAAATTTTACACAAGCTGGAAATACACCTAACTTATTTGGTATAAAACAGAACTGAAAATCAGACATTCTAAGACCATGATTAGAATCAAACTCAGGCTTGGTCATGAGATGAGTGTCTTTCCTGAAGAGAATTTACAGGAGTAGAATTCAGAACCTTATGGAGCATAGCAGTCTGCAAAACTCAACCTCGCAGATATGTGTTTTGAGATTACAGACCATTTAGAAAGAAGGAATTAACTCATACAGTAGAACAATGGATGTTTAAGATTGAATTTTGATACAAAAAGTTAGAATTTTCTGAAATAATCAGAAAAAAGTGTGGCACAATATCTTGTTTAACATCATGCATACAGTCTCATCGGTAGCTAATAACATGAAAATAATTGAATTTAAATCAGTCACGAGAATGTACAACGTCTCAAAACGTAATCTGTTGCAAACATAGTGAAAACTGTCAATGCACATGTTTGGTCTAAATGATCCTTAAATAAGAAACAAAAACATACACATTATGGATGTATAAACAAATTGAATATGAACTTACCTCTCTGACTGCAATCAGTGAAAGCAACTTTAAAAATGATTCTTCATATTGGTTCTTCTTCCAGGAAGTCATGGTCTTTATTGTAATCAGGATGGCATACAAAGAACTCAACCAAATTCAAAATGGGTCCTCGAGAGAATGGATTTTCATAGCGGCCACGCTTGTCTCGCAGGTAGGAATAATGTTTGTAGTTGAACATCTCATTTGTAGTCAGATTCATGCAGGCATGAAGTATCTACAATTATATAAATTATACTGACAACATATGCACAGAAGAGAAAATGAACAAACACGAAAAAACACATCAAATAAAATTCAGCTCTAATCTAGGAGTTTCTCAAACACAAGTTACAGTACAGCAAATTGCCAGATGGACCTAACACTCTAAATTCTATTGTAAGTGGAAGTAACGTTAAGTCTATGGTGCCGTAACTTCTTACTCAGTTGGTCAAGATTCTAATTCTATGTGACACAACAGTTAATAAACAAGTTCACAAGAACCCCACCCTTAGTCAGTTTAAATCAGTTCACACCTTATTTCCTGAAGATTTGTTCCAATATATTATCATTCCATCTATGCCCATGTCTAGGTGTTCAAAATCGGATCTTTCCTTCAGGTTTCCCTACCAAAATTCTATGTGTACTTAATTCTTAAATATGTGCTACATGTCCCACATATCCCATCTAAGTAAATAGGTCTATTTAAAAGCCAACAGTCGCTCAGCTGGTTATGAATTCCCTGCCGTTTATGGAATTCAAAACGTCATTATCATGTTCACTACAGCCCACCAAGACACTTTAATGCAGTTTGCACCCTTACACCCTATGTATTCAACATCCATTTTAATATTATACTCTCTTCTTTGCTTAGGCTTCCCAAGTAATTTAATTCCTATTAGGTTTTCCAACAATAATTTTGTATACCATCTCCCATGTCTCTGGCACGTGCTACATATCCTTCTCTTTTGAGTTCATCACCATTACACAGAATATCTGAGAAAGATGTAAAATAAAATAAAAATTTACATATGCAAAAATATTTATTAAGACAAAACAATCAGACTATTCAATAGCATCAATGTCCAATGTGGTATAAATGGTTTACCTACAACACTTTAGCCATTCCCATCTACATATCACCATGCAGTCACGACGCTAACAGTTCATCAGAAGAGTGCATGTGTTTTGTGGTCTGCAGAGCTTAAATCCATTACAAGAGTTCAACGTAAGTTACAATTTGTGTATGCAGGTTTAAACACAGTTGTACAACTCCAATATGGAGTGGGTCAGATGTCTGAAAGAAACTGGAATAGCGAGGCACATGAAATCACTGAACATCAAAGGGACACACTAAGCCAATGTCCTACATAGGCGATAACAAGCGAGCTACCCAAGCTGCATAAGCAGCATAGGGTGTCATATGAAGCGGGGAATCGCTTGTTGTGTCCTACATGAGAGACCGCAATAGAAGCACACGGCCCTCCTGCTCATGCACCTTCCGTGTTCTGCATGGTCAGAGCTTTCTTGGGCATGCGCCTTACTGGCCAGCGCAGCGACTCGTGTGAAAATATCAAAATATTTGATCTCGGACTTGGCCGCTTCCCTCTCCTGACCGCTTCGCTGGAACCTAGGACAGCGCCACACAAACAGCCAGTTTGATATTTTCGCTTCACCCATGCAACTTGCACCGCTCGCATTTAATCGCTCACGTAGGACACCGGGTAAAGTGAATGTGTGGAGTGGTATGATGAAGGATCACATCACTGGGCCCTTCTTCTTCATGCCACCATGATGCCATTCATCCCTAAGCATGTTAGAATAGTGTAATGTCCCATAGCTGCCTAATGATGTACAGTTGCAGAACGATGGTGCATTACCAAATTTTTGTTACAATGTCTGAGAATTTTTAAATTATGCTTCCCAAACAAATGGATTGGATAAGGCAGTGCCTTAAGCACGGCCTCATAGGTCATCAGACCTGTCGCCTTTTCTCTTAGGAATAAAGCATATTATCCACAAAGACAAAGTTCTGGACCTTCACACACTGCAACATCACAGAGGCAACCACAACAGTGACAGATGGTTCTTCTTGAGAACACGTGGTATTAATAGAACAGTAATAGAATGAGTTTAATTTCAATATCTGTCAAGCTATGAGTAGAAACAACACTGAAACATAACTGATGATACCAACACATTGAAAAAACTTGGACATTTATGCTATTGAAAACCCTGCTTGTGTTGTCTTTGCAATAAACACTTTCACTTGTCCTTCTCAGACATCCTGCGCTATTTTGTGGAGAGAAAAAAAAGTGAAGCGCATCATTACATAAGTTCCTTTGTCTTCCTGTTACTTCCACTAAGGTACAAATATTCTCCTCAGCACTTATGCCAGTTCTCAGACATCCTCAAAGTATATTTCTCCCTGGCCAAGTTCACATAAAATGTAAAATTACGGTTTTGCATATTTTAACTGTTAGGTTTTAGTTACTATAAGAGATGTTCAAAGACCCCAAACTTAATGACACCAAGCATACCCCAAATTTAACATGCTTTTATCTTCTTTGTGAATAATCCTTACAAATGTAATCATTCGTAAAATATTAAGTAAAAACTATAAATTATGACTATCATTTTTGTTATTTTTTTTTGTTAATTTCATAAGTTAAAAAAGTCTCCTCAACACAATATTCTTCTCAAACACCCCTGATCTACATTCACACACACACAAAGAATAAGCAAAATTATAATTTTACATATTTCAATTTTTAGACATTTATATAAAAGAAGAATATATGAGATTCTGAACTAAATGATAGCAATCATTTCCAAAATTCAATCTGTTAATTTAATTCTTAACTAAACTCTCATAAATAAAATAAAAGTTCACTTACTGAGGTGCACGTAAGGATCCATCCCAGGCCACAGAAAACCAAAGCCTCAATCAGACCCAAAACATACATAATCTCAAATCCTTCAATAGCAATGCAGTAGCAGGCAAAATATATGGTGAAAGAACAATTTATGGCAATGCTCATCACAAACAGGAAGAACCAGATCCTGAGGAATGGAGAATAACATCAAAATCCTTTCATGATTGTCACATAAACCTGTTAATATAAATTCACTATACAGTAAAATACTATTTCTTGGTCCTATAACAGTTGGTTCACAGAATTACTTCAACTGTTCATAACATAGTATCAACATCAGTTTATAAAAACAACAGAAGGCTTTCAGAATAAGTTTAAAAAATATGACAAATAATAAAGTGGACAGTTATTAATACTGTCGTCTTCTGAGTTGTAGAGCACCAAGATCACTACACAGCACCAAAGAAACTACTTAGAAGACTACGCAGGAGATCAAAATTGACATCTTCAGCAATGTGAGAACCTCAAATCTAAAATATTCAGTATTGCTGTTTTCTGGACTTAACCAATTGTCTATCTTCAGGTGAAAATACCTATTTCAGTGGGTCTGATAAAGGCGATTAATCCCTGTCTCTGGACAAGACTGCCACACATGACACCATTACCTCAAAAAGTCTACTGGAGGTCTTATTATTTTCTAAAAAATAACATCAAGAGAAAACAAATATTTCTGAGCTCTGTGTAGAGTTACCTTGAAGCCACAATACCACATACTTAAAGTTTATTAAAATTATTGCACACTGTGGAAAGTATATCTTTTTAGACAGTTCAAATCCTGCTCTTGGGCTTTAAGCTCCAGTGCTTAATCACAGTCTGCTTTTTAAAGCCTAACAGTGAATGTGAAAATCTAATCTATAATCTACACAAATATTCTAAAAGCTCGTCCCTCAACAAATGCTGCTTACCTGTTCCGAAGTCCAACACAGTTGTAAATAAAGGGGCAGTGATGGTCAAAGTATTCAACACATCTATTACAGATTCGACAGTGTTTGGCCCGCAGTGGACGCAAACAGTGACACGTGTGGCACAGACGCGAGAGCACGATGTTACGTTTCTTCCATTTGTCAAAATATGGTATTTGTTTAATGGCTCGATAGTAACCGTCTGAGTTAACAGTCACATAACCTGGATCCCTACGATTGGCCACAATCCAACTGAACCACATCAGCAGATTCCAATAGATGAAGCAGTAGTGTGAGACTCGAAGAATGTTCCACGTGATGGGAACACACTGAAAAGAAAGATAAAAATCAGCACTGAGCAACAGTTCAAAACTCAAGTTAAGAAGGTGAGCCATATTACAAAATCCACTTAACACATCCATGCATGTGCTGCTCTGTGCCTGTATACTTGCACCATTCAGCCACTTTCAAGCTATGCTTTAAACACAAAATAATGCAATTTATATGGCATATTCTGTTAAAATTTCCAGTGCTCATCTTACAAGATGTATAGTAGTGCAAAGTTCTATTTTGTATAATACAGTACAGACACAGACACATTTCTAAATGATGTAATGTTTAGAAACTTCAAATAACTTTTGTAAAGCCATCCTATTACACACCATGTAGGCACTCGGGAGAGGTGGCACAGTTCCTACTTATTCTTAACCTCGGCACAGATGGAGATACGTGGTCAGTGTGACACCCCAGCCATGCTCTACCCCAGGGTAAGGACCCCAGTACCCATCGGACAGGAGGCTGGGTGGACCACAGAGCCGGTCAAAACACAGTGGCTACAGGAATAATCCTTTGCCTCTGTCAGAGATTGAATCCCGATTGCCCAGCCCATAGTCACTATCCTGACTGAGCTAACTGGCTCATCAAATAATGTTTGCCTTTCTTTTATTATACTTTACTGTCTTTGATGATACACACTGAGATGATTAATTTCTTAATGTATGAATATGTCAGATTTACACAGAGTCATCAGCAAAAGACATCTGCTGAAAAGTTACCTACAAGTTTTAAAATTGTAAATGGCTTACCCCTTAAGAGGAAAAAAATTCATTCCAACAGTCATCAAAACGTAATGGAGTAATTTAAAACACAAGTAAAACTCAGTGATATCATAATCAAAATCATAAACTATGGTTTATTAACAGAATGCTACTACTGCAATATTACAGCAAAGGTAAGCTAAGTAGTAGACTGTAATGTTGTTATTCAAACAGAAAGACTATATTACACAACAGCAAGCACAAAGCCAGATACAAATGAAAAACAACAACAGAATATAAACTTTTAGAAAGCTCCAAGAAATTTCTACGCAAAAAATTAATTCTTGTAATTAGAACAAAAAAATGCCCACAAAGATTAAACTTAATCAGGGCTGTGAAGATGACTATAACAGAAAACAGAAATGGCAAACCAACCAAATAAAATGTTGTGTACAACACAATGCAAAGCTCCAGTGATAATGACAGCAAATTGTAGTTTATAACAATACCCTCAGTAGATACATGGGGTAACCCCACAAAAGCACAGAACCCATGAAGAGAAGAAGAGGGCCCTTTGAATCACCAGCTCCTCCAAATAAAAGGGCCCTGAAAAATACACAAAATGTGAAAATGTAGAAATACTTCACCACTATTTATAAACATCATTGAAAGTAGAGTAAATTTACTGACTGGTTTCAAGACAGACAACATCTAACTAACTTTCTGCAATAAAACCTGAAATTTTGAACTCAAAACACCAAGGCCCACTATCTGTCATAATTTTGAATCAGTTCAATTCAGTTCATCCTCACAACTTACTTACCTAAGACCAATTCTTTATATTATCTTCTCACTTATTTCAAATGACCACTTCCTATGTTGTTTCTGCACCTAACATCTGCATGCATTTCTTATTTCATCCAACCATGACAAAAGTAGAGCCAAACACAACTGCCTTGCCTTCATTAGTTACACGTAATATAAATTAATCAATTGTTATGAGCCAGCACATCTCTGGATGGATGGCTGGGTTCGGTTTCCACTATGAGCAGAAATTTTATCTCAAAAAGTTCAAACTGGCTCTGGAGACCACCGGAACTCTAATCGCACAGATATCAGGTAGATGTTTCCCCAGGAGTGAAGTGAGAGTGGCATGGTGCTGACCACTCACTGGACCAGCCTCCGAAACGTCGTGATTTTAAAAACAGACGATCGAAAAAGTCCTGATAATAAATAATTTTAAGTCTAAAATGCATGCAGCTTTAACTCCACATTCCCTGTGTCTCCACAACATGGCATTTTTGAATGAGGGGAAACTGCTACTTTACCAAGCCAAAACTGAACAGTTCATCAACTGCCACATTTCTAATTGCAGATCTGGGAGCAACAGTAGGCTAATCAACATTTTATTAAGGCTGTGAAAAACGGAGATAAAAGTTTAATATGATTGCTCAATTCCATTTGGTACATCTCTGACACAAATTTCAACATAGCAAACCACACCTTGCTTAGCCCACTTGGAAGGCATTAATGGAAATACGTTTTTTATTATTCCAGATTTTCAAAATTCAAGAGTTATCCACTGTTGCTCCCATGTCTTCAAATTATACAGATCCAAGATTTACTGATTATTATTAAAATTTCTAATAAAGAATTCATTAATAAAATCAGCACAATGACAGAATAAAGAAAGTAGGAGTCTAATGGAAATTACTTATGTTTCCTGTGAAAAATGCTCAAAATAAAACTTGGCCAAGCACCAGCCATTGTCACATATTTATTTCATAGTTTTCCTCATCCCTACAGGTTATTTACAGAAGATTTCAGTCTTCTGACAGAAATCTTCATACTTACCTCTGTGAAAACTTCAAATCTTACAGGTTAATTACAGCTTAGTACCTAAATTTGAATAATTTCAAACTAGAGTATAATCCTCTCCTCTCATTCAACTCTAAATAATACTAAGTTGAAAAAACATCATTAAATAACCATAAAATCAACCAACAAGAAGTAATAATTGTAATTTCACCTTCATCCCACTCTGATTTAAGAAACAGCAATGTCATGATTAGTATTTGGTTACATAGCCTGGTACAACAGCAAAAATGTTAATTCAGAGATTAAGTAATTAATCTAACAATTAGTAGAAAATTGAAAATAAATTAAAAACTGGATTAAACTGATTACCATTAAGTTATGATTTTACTTAGCCTTATAGTACAATAACTTACCATATTTTAGAAAGAGGCGGCATCCAACGAGCCCTTCTTTTTTCTTCAGTAACCAAGACTTGCACTATGTCACTGTGGCGATGACTTTTGGCAAGTAATAAAGGTGTCTTCCCATTTTTGTCTTTCGGCTGCAGTTCAATTTTACTCTATGGAGAAAAATTATAAAAAGGTTTATCTACAAACTGCTGGAACATAAACCACACACCTACAATAACAGGACCACAATTAAAAAAAAACATTTTACAGAGGAGTCTGAAGTTTTATATGGTGTAACATTTTGGGCTGTCCAAAATTAATCCTTGATTATGATGACCATCTGGTTACAATAACCAAGTGGATAACTGATATCTAGCAAAAAATATAAAGACTATAGGAGTGACCTCATTACACGTTAAATGCAACAACGTATACAACTTTAAAAATAAACAGTAATTTCACAACCCCCACTGCACCTTGTCGTGGTGGTGGGGCTCGAGTACCTCAGTGATCCCAAGAGCTATGCTGGCGGTAGCATAGCTACTGGTAGGGCCTCCCTAGCCAGATTGGTCGAGGGGGAGAGGTCAGACTAAGACAGGTAACCTGGTCCTCCAAGTTGGGGGTTGGTCGCAAGGCTAACAACCTTGCACCGTAAAAAGGAAGATGTTTCGAAACCTCAATCAAAGCCTCAGACAGACGGACCTAACAGAGGACCGAATGGAAGAGGAGAATTGAGAGGCCATGGACCGAATACGAACCGGAGAGCCTTAGAAGAAGAAGAAGAAGAAGTAATTTCACAACACACTTTACTACAGAAATTTGTTAACATTTCAAATATTTTAAAAACATTTAATATGGCTGACACTCATTATTCAGGATATAAACTATACTCCAATTAATACCATAGCTCTGACAGATTTTATATATATATATATATGTATAAGCTATGAGACAAATTAGAAAAATGTCTGAATATCTGCCGCATAATCAGTGGCAGCCATATTTAACACTTATAAAGAAACTCATTGTTAAAAAAAGTTCTGTAAGAAACTGTGTTGTGATATTACTGTATGTTTGGTCACAATAAATTTCCATAATTGTGTACCTTATTCTGTTACATACTCTATAGCAATGCCTAAAACAACTTAGTATTCAGTGGACAGGACAAGTGTTTGATTCCAGGCAAGGGCAGAACTATTCTCTTTGTCAGCTCATTAAAAAACCAAGACATTGAGCTCGAGCAGTATTCAGCAGGTGTCCAGCTCACACCTCAGCCAGGACACAAATACTGTAACAGATTTTTCATGGTTTTCATCAATCACTGCAGCTAAATGCCATGAAAACACTCTGAAATAGACCAAGATCAGTTTCCCCAACTAATTTAATCTTCAAGTTTAATGAACCTGATCTTCTTGTAACACCATTCAACAAACACTATAGTTGATACAACATTACATAACCTATTAATAAACATCCATTTTACAATACTGACCTTTTCACACAATATCTTTACGCAGTTGACATTCCCTGACAAACAGGCTAAATGTAAGGGTGTTGATCCAAAATTGTCAGGTTTCTGTAAATCAACTCCTGAATACAATAACAAACGAATTAATTCGGCATGACCTGAAATAAAACAAAATTAATATTCAGTGTTGTTAGAAAAAAGTGACTAGCTCATATATGTATTGCTTCGACCTTCATTCCGGCCCATGGCCACAAATATAAAAATTCCAATCACTAAATTTCATCACTCTTCTAACCGCCACAGTGGTCTAGCGGTTAGAACGCTGGGCTTGTAATACTGGGGTCCCGGGTTCGATTCCCGGCAGTGCTCAGATTTACAACTTGTGTTGGGCAAGGCCGTGGTCCAGGCATCACGGAGTTTTCCTCCAGGGTTTCCCCGGTTTCTCTGTGGCATCCCAACAATTACTCCACTTTCATCAACATCTCGTAAAAAGGGGGTCACAGCACGAGCGTTAAATGTTGCAGTCCCAATCGAACCCATGTACTGATGGGTTGTGAATCCTGCTAACCACCAATGCACACCATGCTGAATGGTGTGTGCTGGATACGAAAAAAAAAATCAAAGTTCTGTGGACTGTTGATAATAATTGCAAGCATAGTTGTAACATCACATCATTATCCTAACAGTGTGTACTTTTGTTTATGACTGAAATTTATGCCAATTTAAAAGTCCAGGCTTTTGAAATCTGCCTGTTGTAACATATAATACACCCAAGGATTCAACAGTATTTCTTTTAATTCCAAAACTTAAAATATGTTTAATATCAGAACAGAAGGGTTTACAGTACAAGGTCAGGTTTTGTAATTGAAAAGAAACACAAATTGATCCAGTAGTATATAATGTGCTGCAATATTCCCTTCTAAGTCCAAATATTATATTGCATATATCATGCCAGCATGTTATTCTTGCACCATAATTTTTTCATTGTAAAGTAATTAAAGAAATTTTGGAAGAAAAAAAATGCATGAACTAGAAAACGAAATACACTACTTTATTTTCAAACCTTTGCAATATATGTTCCAAAAAGATAGCACATTGTTCTGCATCACATCCCTTACCTTTGTAAGCTGCCCAATGAAGTGCTGTATCACCATTAATGTCAGCGAGATGATTCAGAGCACCCATTCCCAAGAGAAAAGCAGCAGTTGCAATTCGGCCAAACATGCAAGCAGTCATCAAAGGTGTCAGGCCTTTAAAATCTGGAGCATTCACAGCTACTCCAGCCTATAAAATTCAACATTTCAATTCATGAATATACATTCAGTCAAGACAAATAAATCACTCATAGAAGACGTGTTCCTGACCCACCCCAAAATTTACAAAACTGCAGTCGATGAGGCCCAGGATATATGGTAAATCCGGAGTTATTCTTTAATACACTGACAATGGGAATGAAGTTTTCTGTTTCTGCAGATCTCGTATTAGACAGCAGGCACACAGGAAATTGATTTTTGTACTATATCAGATTGTAAAACTTGAAGTTAATTCTGGACACTATAATAAACCAAACCCAGTTTTCTAATACTTTACTAGAGAGTTGGCAGGTCAACTAAATGGGAAATAGGCCCATCACGAGGTCTCTTCCAACAAAGGGCAGCACAATACAAAATATACAGAAATCATCCATACCTCAAACAGGATTCAAACCCACAATCACAGTACCACATGTAGCATTCCACCAGTGTGACCAAGTTTGAGGAACCTTCACCGAGTTGGAGAATGACTTAACAATTTAAGTGTTCTTGTGCGCTTTGAGAATCATGCTAGGCATGAGTAAACAAAGTGGATATTTTCCTGCAGTTCTTAAACTGTGTGAGGGTTTAAACAATTTTCTTTACAGTTTACAATATAACAGGGGCTGAAGTTGGGGGAACATACTGTTGGCAGAATCATGTGATTGGCCTTTATGATGCTTATAAATAATTATTGTTCTCATTAACTTCAAAAAGCTTTACAAGACACAATTTCTTACCGATAGCAAAACTTGTACAACTGCTGCGTGTCCCTTGCGACAAGCCCAGTGAATTGGACGAGGACCCTGCGTGCCAAGACAGGACAGGTCTACAGGAGCAGATCGCTCCACCAAATAACGCATAACCTCAACATTTCCATCTAATGCAGCCCAATGTGCTGGTGTGTACCCCCACTCATCTCGTGAACTCAAAGCTTCTGGTCCCAACTTCTCAACCAAAGCTTCTATAGCACAAACTTCACTGAAATGACCAACAGGCTAAATGTTAACATTTTTATTTTTCATACAAAAAGTCTAGAATGCATGTTTAATAGAAACACCAACATTGGTCAACAAATATCAAATTCCCTAATTTTCTGTCTGTGAACATATAATGTTGCGGAAAATGGCCCTCCAGGAGAGGTATGCCTGTACATTATATCATAATCACAAAATATTAATGAGAATTACACCTCACATAATTTAATCCATCTAACTTACATCTTTCCTAGATGCACTAACCTCTTTTATACTTACATCTGATTTTACTTCTAACGTGGGTTATAGTAAGGAATATATTTTCCATCCCACATCAAGTTGCAAAGCAGTTTGGATTCATTAAGCTGGGTCAAATCAGTAGGGAGATGCCTAAAACATCTTTTGCACCACTTCAAAGTGAAAGGATGGAGAACCATGAGTATTGGTTGAACCTACGTTCTTATAACAGCAGTATTTTTGCAGTACTAGAAAATTATATCACATGTCACTGGAAAGACAAGCAAGTCAAAGACCTAGATTATTGTGCTCGAAAAACAGATGACTGGTTATCAGAGTTAAGTAAATACTTTTCCGCACAAATCTGACTGAAATTTATTAACTCGCTATCAACATTATATTTAAAATGATTGCTTTATCAGAAATTAACACACGAGTTAATGTTTTTACAACAGTCAATACACATCGTTTGACAGTTACAAAGCCGTAACCGAATCTCAAGTAAAAACGGACGTTCTGCTTACCCAGTTCTGACGACATCAAAAATTGATTTGCATGAATGTCCCCTGTCAAAATCGGTGTTGTTAGAGCAACACAAAATATTGCTGTCCTTCTCTTCCGTGACAGTACTGGGTGCATGTTCGGCCACCATGTTACAAGACTGCCCTGTGGTCGGTAAACCCCAGACACTTCGGGCTGTGCCCGGGCTTGGATATACTTTACACAGCGTTCTGCTGTCTTCAAATGCAAACAGTGCGAATAAATGTATGTACTATACGTTGTTTCTTAAATTACAGTGCAAAATACTGTGACATTAACAATACGCCATATTCCACACACGACTGCGCAGCATCAATAGGTTGTGACTTACACAATGCTGATGCGCAAGAAGACTATGAAGGCGACTGGCCAGAGGGCAAAGGCAGGCAGGAAGTTAATTCTCCTCGGGGTTATTTGTAAGTCGAATTATAAAGCCGTCTATGATGTGTGACATGCTATGTTGGTAATCCGTTTATGTACAAGTCAGTATTTACACACTTGACAAAATGAATCGACATTACTTCCTGACGTACCTGTACAAGATTTGTACGTATTTTGCGCATTCATTCGGGAAATGATGGGTGACAAACATTGACAGATTACTGGCCAACTCTTTGATTACTTAGAGAGACCTATGACAAAGTTTACAACTCCACTGAACATTTACTTTTAGAATACATGTAATATGAGCATACACTTGGGAAAACAGATGACAGCCACACATGCAAGTCTCACTGGAAGTGTAGGAGGGGTTAGCCACAGATAATAATAAATAATCCGAAACAAAAATGGAGCTTGTCTCTTTAATTGATGTAGCAATACCGCCTGACAGGAATGTGATTAAGAAGGAAGCAGAGAAGATCTTGAAATACAAGGACCTTCTCATTGAAATACAGTGAATGTGGAAAGTGAAAGCAAAAATAATTCTAATAATTATAGGAGCAACTGGAACTGTCTCCAAGTCACTTAGAAAATATTTGGCCAACATTCCGGGTGAACACGGCATCAGGTAACTGCAGAAAGCTGCCTTTTTGGGATATTCATACATCATTCAAAAGACGCTGTCATAAAATATGTAGTCATCTCTAACAATAAAACTATATAATATATGTAACAAGTATTAAAAACAAAATTGTGATTCAGAAACAGATGCTGCACTATGTACCTTAGGGACAAGGTTTGTCTCAGGTACATGGAAGTAAATACCCTATAAAATGGTGAATAGATGGGATAATAATAATAATATTAAAATGTATTAAAAACAAAATGTATTTTGGAAATAGCTGCTGCACTATGTGCCTTAGGGGCAAGGTTTTTGTCTCAGGTACATGAAAGTAAATACCCTATATATATATATATATATATTTTGTTTTTTAAAAAAAAGAAGATGAAGAACAACAAACTACTACTACACATAATCCAGCAGCAGAAGGCAACTTCTGTGATGAATGTGAGCTAATAAAACTACCGTTGTTGAAAAACTACAGTCAGCATGTGGACTACATCAACAAAGGTGACAGAATGGCTAATACCTGTTCAATTAGAGAACATTGAAGTGGCAGAGAAATGTTTGTACCTGTTGGATCTAACAATATTGAATAGTTATATCATTCTAGCATCTTGTAGCAGCCAAAGAGGCCACTAAAAATATTGTCTTATTTTAGTTAAAATGTATTGGAAATGAGTGTGAGGGAGCCTTGACCTCAATCCACTCCAGTCCAGACCACCAAGTCAAGCCAATCAAACAGCATTTATTGAAGCATGACAACACTAGACACTGGACAGTTTAGGATCCCACTTGTGACATCATATATGTTCAATGAAGAAGAAAATAACTACATACATACATCTCCATACTCTATTTCCATTTTAATACTATCCTCCCATCTATACCTAGGTCTCCTACATGTTCTCATTTCCTTTAAGATTTAAATGTTTTTCTTCATTCGCATTTGTCCCACATTTGCAGGGTCTGTTTTTTTACCTCTCTTGGAGGTTTATGATTGATATATTTTTTGGACATTGGTAGAACTTGCATGAGTTATCAGCCCTATCTGCAAGGCTTCTACCTACACAAACATCCATGCCTTGAGTGGGCTCTGGGGCCCACCCAGCCTCCTCTACAATGGGTACTGGGGTCCTTTCCCCGGGGTAAAGCCGGCCGGGGCGTGATGCTGACCACTCACCCCCATCTAGTGCCCAGGTCAAGAATGAGTAGGAGCTATACCTCTACTCCCCCCAAGCGCCTACATGGCGTATAGTGGGACAGCTTTACTTTACTTTACTTTAGGTGTAGAATAAATCAAATCCATGACTGCAATATAAACAGTTTAATATAAATGCCTAACATATATAAATAGTCAAATTAATAACAGACTTGAGAGATTGGAATAAATATTTAATCATCTTATATTTGGAAGATTAAAATTTTGTACATGCACATTGTTTCATTGGTGAAACTTTAATAAATATATATTTGTAGCACAGATTTTGATACATATTTTCAGGATTCACATTAATGTAATTATATTTTAGCTTTATGGAACACTGACAGAACACTTTTTTCATGTTTTTACAAATTAAAATGTCTTAAATTATCATTGCTGTAATGAATTAATTAGGAGTAACCTGCAACAGTACACAAATCAATTAATATCAAGTACATATATATCAAAACAGTGTCCATCTATTGTAACTGAACACAAGTACCATATATATTACAAAATATTATTTATTGTCTAAACATTTAATCTAAAAGCAACATACCTATCAAATTTAACTGCCAGCAGTTCTGAATGATTTATCCACATTTTTCTCTTTAATATTCTGTTATATACACACACACATCAAATTATTTAGAAACATGCACAAATCACTGTTAGCTGACCTTACTTTGTGAAGAATCATACTTTCTCCAGTTTTTAATGAACAGAACTTTGCCAAAATTAAATTCCAACATCAAAAGTAACATTTTTCCATTCTAAAATATTCTTCCATTATAATATTGCAACAAATTTATTTAACCAAAATGGAAATAAATTATACACTTTTTTATTTAATTGCAAAGAGAGTAAAGTCTGGCTAATACAAATTTTTTAAAAAAACTTTGTATTCTATTTTCTTAGAAGTTCGCCTTCAGTTAATTATATGTAATACAGCACAACCTTCCATAAATATTTTCTAGTAACACACCTGTAAACATTTTTTAACAGAGAAAATCTCTTAGGAAGAGATCTGAAAGTATATGATAATGGAATCTTTACTTAACAGGGTATCCTTAAACTGGTTTTACTGAATAAGCTAACACTATATTACATGTTTACCACCACAAATTCAATAAATAAGATAAGCTCACTATTTAGTATTCAGCAATTAACTCTTAACATACAGGCACCTAAATTTTATCTGCAAGTTAAGCCTTTAATTAGGCTAAGGGATAAATATCCAGCTGCAGAATTTTAATTAACATCCAGGAGTATGTAATTTTCTGACTGTGTAATATAACAAAAGATGTTCTCAATTTTGATGTATGCAAACTGGTTCCATTTTATGCGTAATGTACTGTGTTACACGTGAGGCTTACAGCCAAGACCTGAATAGGTAAAAATGACATTTTGCATTCTACAAACTTCAATTTGATAATCTAAAAATCAATAGTTTGGCTGCTAATGTCATGGTAAAACTTTCTCATCATAGCATTATAGAGAGACTGAAAAGTTTCTTTTTCTGATTCTGAAGAACAACATGTTTCAAATGTCTCAGATACACAATATACATGACATCACAACATAGTAATAAAACTGTTTATAGATGAACTTTCCAAAAATATTTTATCAAATCTGTGGTAAACAGGCTAGCACTCTTGCTTCGTATCCAGGTCTCTGGTTAAAATCTGGACACAGAGGCCAGTATCCTGACTGAGAGTTCCCATTGTGTACCTTAGTATGCCAGGCAAATCCTTGGGTACTACCTTAAAGTATGCCACAACAGTGTCTTCCCACATCCTTTCCAATATTTCACTGGTCAACCCTATATAGAACATAACGAAAATCACGATGCCAGACGAGTATGAATAATGGCAAGTTGTGGGAGGTCATACAGGTTTTTAAATACCTCAATAATATTCAGCCCATGTTACCTGTCTACACAAAACTTGCCAATGAATGACAAAAAGTTTTTGGCAGTACTTTCCAAAAACGTAAAAAACAAAAAAAAATTTTAAATAAAATTGTAGATTTATAGCAGATGACATACGTAGCATGACATGAGAATTTACCTGGCAAAAAAGAAAAAAAGAGCATGGGAATACTGCTGCATATGTTAAATACATAAGAACATAAAGTAAAAGGAAAGTACAGGCCTTGGACACAGGTTGTTCCAACATGCTTATTTTTTTATCACAAAGCCATTTTTTGAATTGACATAATAGGAAAAAGAGTGCTTGCAGCACTGTTCATCACAACAGAAACATATTTCAGACAAGGATAGTGAAATTCAATAAGTGAAGTTTTAAATGAGAGGTACATGGAGGAAACTTTTTGTTTGCAAGGTGAATTTATCTACACAGCACAGGTAACTGTGAGTACAAGGAAAGAATAAAAATTCATGTGGGAGCAAACTCACTATGTATCACTATATTTTTCCATCTTCTAAACTTTTTACTAAAACTTTCTTATGAAGTGCAGGAGCCTTCTATTAACTGTGTGGCCATGTTTGACTTGTATTCTAAAGACCAACTAAACATATGTCATGTGACTCATAGCTTATGGTGTGAGAAGTACCGGCTAGAGGAATCTAAACCACATGATAGTTTCAGTGGTATATTGTATCCTGCTTTTGGTAAAGAATTAAAACAGCATTACCAGCTTGAAGTGTCCAGAACTGAAACACATTTCCTCTTTCTAAACACATTCTTATGTAGTGAATGCTTTGCAGTTTCTTTGTGCTCAGATTTCCTTTAATTTTGAAAGTATAAAATATCCATAACTAATAATGCACTTATACAAATCACTACTGAGTTCACAAATCTTGAAAATGCGTTTTGTTGCAATGTGATATTTTAATACATTATCAAAATATGGGCAGTTTAAAAAAAACAAAGGCAGATAAAGCAAGACTTTAGAAACATTATATCCATCTGTTTAGATTTATGCTGTCTCTTATAAATACTCCATGAAGCTAATGTGAATAAAGCCACTCAGCATGCCTCATAGAGTTAATTAATCCTGCAAGTAATTTCTAATTATACACACATACTACCTAATATAAAAGTTTAAAATAATACTTCTAAGGCAATAGCCATTTATTTAATTTCACCCTACAACTACCAGCACTTTTTCCATACTGTCAGCTAATATTTTACAAAATAAAGGCCTGTATAAAAATGCGGTTGTTACAACAATCTCAACAAAATCCTACAAATCAACTTCCTTTCGACACTGTTTATTTGTTTTACAACAGATGCATTCCAGTCCTCATGGGACCATCATCAGTGTTAACTTACATATTTGGCTCAGACCATTCCACTATTTAAAATTACACAATATGATTGTTTCTAAAACTACCTTATCAAACACTGCATTGTAAAACCAAATATAGATACTTAAAATTTAAAATTAGTAAAATCATTGTACAATTTGCTATCCTGGTATAATTTTACATTTTAAAAATCTGTATGTTTTAGATTGTTGTGGTTATTTAGTTTTATAATATGACATTTGATTAGGTAGTTTTAGAAACTTTAAAGTTGTGTGATTTTATATAGTGGAATGGTCTGAACCAAGTACATAAGCGAACACTGATGATGGTCCCATGAGGACTGAAATGTGCCTGTTATAAAACAGTGTAGAAAGGAAGCTAGCTTGTAAGGCTCTGAATAAATATCTATATGGTATGAAAATTTGTAAGATAACACTCTTAAGTTATGGCTCTGAACTGCACTTAAGAATATAACACAAATTTTAAAGTACATTTTTGGAACATGTAATAAAATATGATGTAAGTGTAAAAATCACTTAATATACAACATATTCCTAAAATTTTGCAAGATTCAAGAAAATTATTTCCAGAATTATTCAATTACATACTGTTTGAAGAACATTCCAGTAAATTGTTTTCAGCGAGCTGAAAATTCTGTCACTGGCAGTTTATGGATTATATTGTTATCTGATAATTGTACAGTTAAAATACCACAAGAAAATTCACAATATTCCACAGCTAAATATCACATCTATGCACAGAAATAAAAATGGCTAAACAAAAAATAAGTTAATAAAGACATTCATAATGCAGAAAAAATAAACTCCTTTGTGGGCATGACACAAAGTCAAGCATCTCTAATATAGAGAGTCAACACAATTTGTAGCAATGAATTACATGTACCTTTTGGTTTAACTGTGAACAATTTCAATTGATTATAAAACTATGTTAACCAATATAAGAATCCACAAATACATTATAACAATATTTAATCATTTTAATCACAAAAATACAAGAAACCATGAAAGTCATCTTCAGTTAAAAAGGTACAACTACTATAAAATTTGAATACTATATCTGTATACAAGGCAATCTAAGGTATGCAACTTTGAAACTATTATACAGACACTAACATTACTGATAGAGATTGAGGATTTTCAGTATGCTTTTACATGCATATATCAAATTCCATCAATATCCTTCAGACTCCAGATTTAAACATTTTTTGCTCATTATTAATACATTCTTCTCATTATTCAATGCATACTGAAACAAATGTATTTAAAAACAGCAATTACTGATACAACTCAATATGACAGGCACATTAAGTACCAATAACATTACCATTTTTATATTAAACTATCAGGTCTTGGTTAAATCATTTGCTGTATTGTTAATAATTTCAGAGTTAATCATTCTTTTATGTAGTGGTGGATTCTTATACCAGAAACAGCTCATCATATTCAACATATTTTACAATATATTTATAACTTACAATATTTTTATAAATAATTCATTTTAACCGAGAGATTCTATCTGCTCTCTCGACTATTATAGCTATATAACAAATTTTGAGATAAAAAAGACGAGTAGCATAAATACTGCCATATTAGTTTTGTTTTCACATAATTATTTTGCTTCCCTCAGACACATGTATCAGCTTTCAAAATGTTACGTTAATTTCCATATTATTGTACTTCAATTGACCTTTGGCACAACGTCATTAAAATAAGCCTTTGTACAACTGCTAACGATAAATACAAGCTGACACATTATCACAGGCTTATGGAAGATGACAATACATTAAGGAATATTATAACCACGATATCACTGGAGATATCTTATATTAAAAATGTCCACAATCTATCTTAGTACAGGACACCATTCCTGTTGCTGTCAATAACCTCACATCTTGACAGTCTTTCTTCATAGTTAAATGAACATTCCTTCATCTGTTCCTTTATCTTCAGGTGCCATTTGATGAATTAATCATCAAAATTCCAAGCTGGATATAAATTACTAAATTTCAAAATGAGATGCTGAATGTCATGGACACAGAGCACTGAATCTTTCTCTTTTATACCAAGCTAACAAACTTTTTTATATTCATGAGTTTGAAGTGGACTTAAAACAGACGGAAATGACTGACAGGAATCTTTTGGATTGGTCTGTTGTGAATTCCACTTCCAGTTCATAATTAAACCAATTCAAAACATCAAAAAGCATTTCAGACACAAATACTTATGAAGGAATGTCAATTTAAATTGGACTAAAGTCCTAAATGCCAACATAAAATCTAATATACACTTTTTAGTTTTCCGTGGCATACGTTCTTACATTTGGGTGCTCTTACAAGCACCATGACCTTAAAACTTAATAGCCTAAATATTAGGTGTCTAAATCTGTTTCAGAATGGACAATATTCAAAATACTGACATATGAACCAAAAATAAAACCTAAGAGACCAAAGATCATGATGAAAATATCCTTCCAAAGGATCCAGTTATGCTTTCCAAATCCTTTGTGCCAAAAAGTGATAATCTCAATGATGGGGGGAAAGATGAGAGCCAGAGTAGAACTGCTCACTGCTCCAACTAGTGAAATAACTGCTCCCAAGTTTGGAATCATAGCAGCGAGGGCAACTGCAGGACAGAAAATTAACATTTAACATTCTTACTTGTGCTGTTAATACAAGAAATTATTAAAATGATTTCCTTACAGAATAATGCAAGCTTTTGTTGTGTCTCTTTCTGTGCAGCTTTTAAGTCAGTTGCCATGTTTTTATGAAATGCCACCCCAAAGTCATCTTTCATGACCAATTTTACTACTGACTCATAGAATACATGACATTATTCATTCAGTTTTTCAGAACATTTGTTTACAAGGTGAGATACAGTGACCTGAGATGATAGTATAGGAACGTAAATATATACCACACATGTACTTTATGTATTCATTATAATGAAAAGTAATTCATTTGAAATTAATGGTACTGGTTAGAATAAACATAACGTAAATAGCAAACAAAATTTGACAAAATTTTGCTAAGTGCTTGGAAATCAAGAAATTTCTAGATAAAACTCACAAAAATTACTAATGCTCTGAGCACATCATACAACAAACACATTAATGAAATAATAGCTAGTTGGAACAAATACTGAATAGAGAAGGTAAAACGGTTGACATCAGATGTTTAAAAAAAATTCATTACACATAGAAAAAGATTAATTTTTAGATGCGTGAAATTAAAAAAATTGTGAAAAAATGATAAAACAAGAAGAAAGTGTACTTTTCAGCACTAAAGGGTTAAATTCTTCCGAGAGTTCTTTGTAACCCTACCAAGGCACCATTATGATTCTGGCTGTAGCCTGAGATTGTGACATACTGAAAATGTATCAACAATTTAGCTGCACTTTCTTTTGAGGACAGAATGTAATGCCAATATAAATGAAATGTGCTCATAAAAGTGTAATCCTAAATGAATGGAAAGGTTTGAATCCTGTCTTTGTATTCACTGATTTAAATGGTAGAGGATGCCTGGATGTGGAGAGAAGAAACTTACATGTGAACACCACAAGACATGTTCTGATGAGATAGTCACCAAACATCTGCGCTCGCTCACTCTGCAGGTAGGGCCTGACCAATGGCCAAATGATGTTCATGGGAACATAGAACTGTAGTCCATATGACAGGAATATCGCTAGTGCCATCATCAGACGCACAGACTGAGCTAAACTGAAGAAAACACACAACTCATATTATTTCCAAAGGTTGAGACAGGGTGTTTGTGAATATATTTGCTTCTACATGCAATACTTATATTAAGACTTGTTACCATAACATTTTTTGTCTAAAGAGATGTAAGGAAACTTACATGTAGATAATTTTAAATGTTGTATGCCCTGCTTTATAAAACTTTTCATACCTTTAATGTTTATCAATGCATAATTAAAACTAGAAATTAATTATTCTATTATGGTATTCTGATACTCACAAACATTAAAATGTATCTTTAATGTTTGAACAGAGTGTTTAGGATCAGAGGGACTGACTCAACAGATATAACAGATATACTGGACACATCCCATGACGACACTCAAACTCTTTAAGAATTTTCAAGAACTACGTATTTTTCTTATCAGAGGCATCAAAGACACCATCCTTTATGACAAAGACTGATAGATAAAATATTTAATTAAGTACGAATTTGTACAATATGAAGGATATGAAAGTCAGCTTTAGAACTCACTGGGTTAATTTCTAACATAACATCTCACAAACATTTGTCACATGTAGACTTTTGTTTGGTGCTATTGAAGAGCACACAGTAGCAAATGGATTTTTTGCACTAATATCTAGCTCCTGTCCTGCAAAAATTTCTTTAGTGATCTAAATAGATTACAGAAGCTACCAGGGCAAATTTGTTGCAAGTGTATTTGTAAAGTTGCAAAAATACATACATAACTTTAGAAGACATACTGATATTTTTTTTTCATATTCGGTACACACCATTCAACATCGTGTGCATTGGTGGTTAGCAGGATTCACAACCCATCAGTACATGGGTTCGACCGGGACCACGACATTTAATGCTCCTGCTGTGACCACCTTTTTGCAAAATGATGATGAAAGTGGAGTAATTGTTGGGATGCCACAAAGAAACCGGGGAAATCCTGGAGGAAAATTCCGTGATGCCTGGACCACAGCCTTGCCCAACACAAGTTGTAAATCTGACCACCGCCGGGAATCGAACCCAGGACCCGAATATTACAAGCCTAGTGTTCTAACTGCTAGATCACCGTGGTCTAAGACATACTGATATAAGTATCTGTAGTCCTATAATGTTAAAAGTAGGAAAACTTACATGTCATTTGGTGGGAGATTAAGAGTGATACTGCCTAAAACCCTTTCACCATACTTCAAATAACCGAAGAATCCAACTGATGTATATAGAGCTGCGACAATCACCATTCCTGTGTTAAGGACTCCTGTCCAACCACCAAAGTCTTGAGGATTTTTCATATTGTTTTCCAGAGGCAAAACCTAAAGGCAAAGACAACATGTAAAATCATGTATATACCTGAACAACTTCCATTGTATTGTTGTCACAGTTTTTCTTACCTCTAAAAAAATGCTGCAAGAGGTTACTTAAAAAGCCTGCTTTCTTCCACATTCTTTCCAGTTCACTAAAGATATTAACTATAAACATATTTAGCAAATTCAGCCTTTTAGAACTTTTCTTTTATAGAGGACTGGAATGAGAACTTGTACCAAAGGACAGAACACACCCTTAATTCTTTTATAAGTACTCTGTGTGTGTGTGTGTGTGTGTGTGTACCTTTTATAACATGTCACAAGCCCCAAAACTAATTCAGTTTTGTCCACATTCTGCTAAGCATGCTTTTATTCACTTGCTGCATGGCTCATGTAATTCAATTCAATGCTGTTTAGCAGAGGAGGTATTTTTTTTTCATGTCCAGTACACACCATTCAGCATGGTGTGCATTGGTGGTAAGCAGAATTCACGACCCATCAGTATATGAGTTCGACCGGGACCGCGACATTTAACGCTCCTGCTGTGACCCCCTTTTTGCAAAATGATGATGAAAGTGGAGTAATTGTTGGGATGCCACGGAGAAACCGGGGAAATCCCGGAGGAAAACTCCGTGATGCCTGGACCACAGCCTTGCCCAACACAAGTTTTAAATCTGAACACCACCGGGAATCGAACCCGGGACCCCAGTATTACAAGGCCAGCGTTCTAACCGCTAGACCACCGTGGCAGTATAGGAGGTATTAAACCACATGACAAGATCTCAAGATTAAGTCAAGTGACATTAGCAAACATGGGTTTGAGGCAGCACAACCAATGCAGCTGGCAGCATAATGTTCATCAAGGAATCATTTTCACAGACCTCTAGATACTACATAATATATGTGGTTGATCCAACGTCATTAAATAACCTACAAGATAAATTTAATAATAATAATGTGTAATGGTGTTTCATCAATAGCTTCAGTTAGATGGCAAAGAATGATAAGTTAATAAGAAAGGAAATAGCACAGTTTAAAGTATATCTCGCAAAATAAAGAATACAGAGATCTGGCCATGTGTCATACACGGATGGCAATGGGATATATCTGGAAGCATTAAAAATGTAATGCTGAATAAAAGATAATTGCGGAGATCAGGACTAGGAAGATAAATATCACAGAGCAAGAAAATAGTAGATACAGATGCTGAAGCAATGACAATGAGATGAAAGAGAACAGAGAATTCTTAAGCGGCCCATCCATGTACGAGTCTGGCTTGCGAGTCCGGCTCGGCTCGGGTTCCATCGAGCCAAACTTGTTTGTGGGTGGGGTGTCACGAGCCGAGTCTGCTATGCATTTGTGGTGAAATATATCTGAGCCCGGCTCACGAGTCAAGCTCGCCGAGCCAGACTCGCAAGTCAGACTCGTACGAGGACGGGCCACTTTAGTCATAAGGCAAACACCCAGGGGTGTGCCACTAATTTGTTAACAAGGGGCTTGCATCAGAAATATGTATTTGTTTGCTTCCATTTTAGCATCTGGAAGTACGAATGGGCAAGATATATCAATATATGGATGTATGTGTATTGATATTTTGATACTAGTGCATTTACTTTATAATCCGATATTTTCCATACTGATAAATGACACAAGTAAGGGGCTTGTACAAGCCCCTCTGATATACCACAGCATATCTCACCAATTACCAAGGTGGAAGCATTAATGGATGAAGAACATGACAATGATCAAATAACTACTAGGACTCTCTAAAGGCAAAACAGCAGAACTATTCACTACAGTGTTAATGTTCAGCCCAAAGACAGAAGGCCTGAAAAGCTGACAGTTGCTCAGCTAGTCAAGAAATTCTCTGTTCTTATTGAAAGTCCACCACTGCATCTTTCCTGAGCCACTTGAATTGAGTACAAACCCTCACACCCCATTCCCTTGAGATCCATTTATAACACCATTCTCTGATCTAGAGAATTATAAGTTACTCTTAGTGGCAGTGCAGGAAGTGCGATGGGAAGGGGAGGGCACAATCCCAGTGGATAAATTCACATTTTTCTATGGAAAGGGGAATGACAACCATCAGTTAGGGACGGGGTTTTTTGTTCATAGCAGAATTAGGGCATCAGTTAAGAGAATGGATGGGACAAGAGGTGTGCACCGGGTATTGGTTGGGAAGCCTCAGGGGAACAGACCGCTGGGGAGACCTAGACGTAGATGGGAGGATAATCTCAGACAGGATCTATGGGAGATAGGAGTTGAAGGAGACTGGATTTTGTTGGCCCAGGACAGGGACCGGTGGAGGGCTTTGGTTAATTCAGTGATGAACCTTCGCGTTCGGTAAGCCATCTAGTTAGTTAGTTAGTTAGTTATATGTTGTCCTCCCACATGATCCATTACCTTTAAGTATTACAATACAAATTTTGTTTTTTATATTTCCCATGCATGCTACACATCCCACACCTTGACTTGATCATCCTAATATTATATGACCAACAGCACAAGTTAGGAAGCTTCTCATTACGCAGTTTTCTCTATCCTATTGCTACTTCCTTTCTCTTGGGTTAAAATAATCTTCTCATCACCTTGTGTTCTCAAACATAATGAAACTAAATCCACTGTGGCAAATTTTATAACCAACGCAACACAATGGATAGCTTTAAAGTTTTGTATATTCTAATCTTTATGTTTTCTAATATGACATGGGAGACAAAATATTCTGAAATGAATGGTAGCAAACATTTGATAAATGTGATTTGCTCTTAATTTTTTAATAATATAATTTTCATTGTTTACTGCCATTCCCAATACTTGACCACTGCCAGAATTCAAACAGATAAGGATTAAATGTAAGAATAAGAAAATTAATGACAACTTTAAAATATTTTTATACTTACCACACCAATGCCCTCAAAGGCATATATGGCAGTGCCAAAATAAAGTGGCAGATGCTTCCAACCAGCAAAGGCCTTAACAGTGGAAGTGCGAGGAAGACCCTGTAGCATGTAGAAGAAGGTGATACCAAGCCCTGTCACAGTGATAACAGCAGCAAATAGTGAGACAGGGGTGAGGTACTTGAGGTTCTTCACCCAGTTCAACAGTATCATAGGAAACAATAGCATCAGCAGGTAGTAATGTACAGTCAGCTTGAGGCCAAAGAAATGTTTCATAACCTAAAACACATTAAAACAAAGTTATGCAACATTAGGATCCATGTAGGCATTCCATATGCCTCATCATGCACATCGCCTTCACATATTTAAATAGTAGCATGCTACAGCTTGAGATGCAAAAGTTTACTTTTAAAATTCTTATAGAAAATCACTGTGCTGACTGGTATAGTGATAGCACTGCAGACTTGTATTCATGTCATAAAAACATAACAATGATGTATATATTTTAAGTTATATCTGAAAAACATAACATTGCATACAAGTAACAAGTTCTTCCCACATTCATGTTGAGCAGGAGATCAGTGGCCACCCAACAGCCCAGACATAAACCCCTGCGACTTCTCCATTTTTGATTACCTTAAGGATAAATCCTTTCCAAAAAAAAACCCCAGCCTCATTAATACAACTCAGGGGTCTGACTGTTCAATGTGTAGTGAAATTATGGAGGATATGTGCTGTTAAAACATCACGAATGTAGCTCTTTGCATTTCTGAATTAGCATGAAAGAATGTGATCTTATTGAGCATCTAATCCATCAAGGATGAATTTCCATGAATTGTTCTTTGCATTCACAGATGTACCATGATATGAATATTAAAGCTTTTATTTAAACTTCATTTCATGCACCACTCTGTAAGACCATCTGCACACTAGTCCAGAACGCTAACTCATGTGTATTACATTTAATTGCTGAATAGCAAACTTTCACTACCTAAATATAACATTAACCTTTATTGTACAATCTGTACAACAAAAATCAAGCACTTGAAATTTTGTGTCCTATACCAGAAGTGATGTAAGCATACAGATGGCATTATAATTCCAGTCATTCTTAACCTCCTTGTATTTGTGTGTGGCTTTTCTATACCTTCCATTAACTACAATGAATTATGCCAGACATCTGTTAAACAAAGAATCAATACATCTGCCCAATTTCAAGAGAAATGTGAATTAATGTTCGTGTCTTTTCTGAGTGCTCCAAAAGCAAATTGGAGGTAAAACTACACTTTTATTGATTGGTTCCCCATGTTCCCTCATAGAACAGTTAGAATGGCAGGGAACGGGTAGCACTGATGCAAAATTCACATTTGAAAAATCTAATCCTGATATCTAAATAATGTATTTCTTTCACTTTTTCTTTTGTACCTGCAATTTTCATTCTGATTTTAAAGTTCCATGTGCAAATATGACCATAGGTAAACTTTTTACTTGCAAAAACACACACTTTAGAATTTATTTTAAGTATACTAATGACATAGAAAAAATTAATTACAGTGTTAACCATTAAAAGGGTATTTCCAAGACCTGACATCTTTAATAAGACATCCAGAATCTTTGAGCTTCAACCATGGAGCTCAATCATCTTGGCACGGACTCATGCCAGTTATATAGAAGCCTTGAGAAACTTGAAATGAGAGTTCTACCCAAAACTAAATGCCTAAATATTATTCACACTAATAATTGACCATACCTCTTCTAAGTTGGCCGCCACAAAAACAAAATAAACACAGCAGAATCCAAGCTGAGTAATGCAGAGGAATATATTAATAATAATCCTCACAGCTTTAGAGTATTTTCGTACATTTGGCGGTCCAGTCTTGAATGCAGTCTCACATACTTCAGAGAAGCCCAAGGCTGGAACCTGGGTCCTTTGACACAATTCATGAGAGCATTTAACCTAAAAAAAATAAGATACTAAACTTCTCCTTCCCATTACATTAACAGTGACTGACTATGAACGTAGTAACGGACTGATTCCCCATTCAGGGAGACCTATTTTATATTGAGGGTCAGTATCTCACAATTAATTCTGAGTTGGAATAGACCCAGGTGCATTTTCATGAAAGTGTAACAACAACAACAACAACAACGTTCTTTGGATGTTCAAACATTATCTTCTAGAAATGCTTTATTAAATATGTATTCTTACAACCATGGACAAACAGAGACATAAATGCTTTAAAAGTAAGATTTTATATATTCTATCTGCAGATGACTATCAGTAATGCAAACCACTATCATCTAGCTATAAATAATGATTAAACATTACTTGATTACCATCAATAAATATGCACATACATGAATGTGTTATAAATCAATAACAGGTGATTATGGGTAGGCAGGTGGCTGGGTATCCAGGTGACCAGGCAGGAGGATGGATGGACACTGCTATACCACCTGCTGAGGAAATGTAGTGTCAAATGAGAAAGGGCTAGGTGATTGAGAATTATGAATCAACAGTAACATGGGATGAAGAGTTTGTGACCTATTTTAGTTTATTAACTAATGTATCATTTGCTGAAAGTATGCAACATCAGATAAGTGCTATAAGGATGAATGTCATGATGACTCGGGAAGATGTAGATCAGGGGTCATCAACATGGTCCCTACCGCCCACTAGTGGGCAATTCAAGCTTTCATGGTCGGCAGTGGTGGTTTTTGTCCATTGTTACAAATTTTGTTCTTCCTCCATATATCGAATACATTGCTAACAACTTCGCGAGTTTGACTTTTTAAAACATGCTTTTACAATTTACTTTTGAATTCCATCTCTAAACTTTGAATATAGATAATAATTCACCGGACACTTCTCGAAGTATACTCATGGACAAGGGAGCAATGAATGAGCTCCGTAGCCAAAGGCATGAGTTTAGTGCGCATAACGAGGGCAGAGCTTACCACCGGCCATCACTCAGTCTTCGAGCTGTACCTCTTTCATGGTGGTGGGCAGTACATGGCACCGGTGGGCGGTAAGGAAATTTTACCATCAACAAAGATACATAAGTGGGCGGTAGGTATAAAAACGTTGACGACCCCTGATGTATATGGAAGCAAATACTATGCTGTCCATGCATAAAACAATCCAACCTGAGGGGAAAGTGATCAGTATGGCAGCTCTTACCAGCATGTGCATGCAATGGGTGCAGATTACACCCAGGAGTAGTGTTCCCACAGTTCCAACAACAAGACCTGCATTTTTAAATGCATCTGGCATAGCCAGAATTCCAGTTCCTACATTCCCCTTCAACAAATGAATCATTGTATCCAAGTTCCTGAAAATATAATAGGACAATTAAGAGCATAAACAACTAATATGTTTATATAATTTTAAAATTACACGGGAAACTGCAACATAAGACACTCAGTTTTGTGATGCTAAAAAGTTTGTTTGTAATGAGATAAAGTAACAAAGTAACAAACTAGGCAATTAACCAAATTTATGATAAGCGTCCTTAAAGATGGCTGTCTTCAGAAGACAGCCATCTTCAGACTCGTCACTGTGAAAACCTCAAATCCTACATAAGCATCCTTGTTGTGAGGTGGTAAAGGAATTTCCTGCTGTTATAGGATCCAAAATGTCATTGATGTGTCTAAAAAGGCCATCATTGGACACCATCATGAACCAGTAAACTCTACTTCATACCTTATGTTTTAAGACACATATAAACACATTCTTTAACCTGATTAAGTCACAAGAAAGGTCTGTTCCCCTGGAGTTTTCCAGTAAAAATTCAGTATTCATTGTCTCTGTCCACCACACATACTACGTACTTTACCCAGCTCACTGTTCTTGGTAACTGCATTAAGTGAAGAGATCAATAGTGAAACTCCTCATTATATAATTGTGCACATTCTCCAATTACTTAATCTCACTTTGAACTAGAGAAAGCAAAGCAATTCTTAGTGAGATTTCAGGTTCTTATGGTGGTGAGTATAAAGATGGCAGTCTTCTGCAATGTTGTGCCATATAGTCCTGTACAAGTTTACCAACATTTCAGAGGAGCTTGATACCTCTGTAAAGTCAGTAAACTTCTTCTACCTCGCTACACAGTACAACACCCCAGAAGACTGTCTTCAAAGCACTTCTTGCTTCCTTTATGCATGCTATATGCCCTGCACATTTCATCTTTCTTGATGTAACTCTGTAACTAAATGAGGTGATAATTGTAAAGGTCCTTATTATATTGCTGTTTAAATTCTCCTGTTATTTCATATCTCTCAGGCACAATAGAGAGCAATGGCAGAAGTTTCTGAAGTCTCATACCATAAACTTCTATTGGGGACGCAACACTATGCAGAGTTCAATGACTAAATGACAATGACAATGACATTTATTAAGTCTGTTGGTTACAGTTTACAGTGCTGGACTCCCTGGCATGACAGACAATGATATTGCAAGATCTGTGGTATACAAAGTGGAATGGGAGAGGTTTTTCTCTGAGTACTTTAACTTTCCCCTGCCTCTCATCATTCTTGCTGTTCATTTATGTGCCTCAGAGGTGTGAGATAACTCTTGGCAGCCAGAATGTTATCATGGCCTTGGTCCTCAGTCGAGGCTTCACCTCTGACCCAGCACTTGGCATAAAATAAAACATTAACCCCAATAAAAATTTCATCATTATTAATCAAAAAAAATATCAAAAGTTCTCTTGGCTATTCAGTGTGTATTAACCATAAGACCCCAGTCTGTGGTATGAATGAATTTTGTCTTCTGTTTGTTGTCTTAAGGTTATATAAACAATCACAGCCAATCCCCTTCATAATTTCTGATATAACACAGTAGACACATATCTAATTTATAGCTCTTATCCTATTTTGAATATGAACTTTATATGGCAACATTTTATCTTTGCATAAGGCAAATGTCTATATAAAGGCAGATCAATAATAAATAATATTGTTGAATTGCATAAGATACCGTTTTAAAAGACGGTGTGATGCCACAAAATGACAAATATTGTTTCTTAACAACCATGTCATAAATGCAGAATGAAATCTTGAACATAAATTAACCTTTATCATATAATGTACTTTTATGCTAGAGTACACATAAACAGGAGGACTTTTATGTTTCTGTAGCACATGTCCTGTGCTACCTGCTATAGCATTTGTGTGCCACTTCTTCTTGTGAAGAAGCAGATTTTTTCAAACAGTGGAAAGTGATCCCAAGATAACTCATGATTATAATAATCAAAACTATATAAACAACATTTAGAACAGTACAATTAAATATTTTGCATCAAAACACATATCAATAATTTCATGTATGTAGGTTCATTCGAAGTGTGAAATAAAAAGTATAATATTTAACTAATATTTAAGAAAAACTCAGGGATGTGGTTAAGTCTAATTAAAATTAGTATAAATGAATAATTCCAAGGGAAGGAAGTTCTACCTCTCGGATGAGAATGACTGAAAAATCTTCTACTCTTATAGATCCTAAAAATTCATCACTTTTGTCACAAAGGTCTACAATTTGACTCCAATCCAGTCCATATCTCCACATTCTAATTCACTTAATATTAGCCTTTAAATCATGCTCAAAACTTTCAAGCAAGTGCTTACCATCATGACCCCAACCAAAATTTTGTATGCATATCTTCTATCACCATGAATATTACACATCCCAACCTCGACAACCTTCTTCACTCAAGTTAATAATAGCAGGTAATCAGTACAAATTGTGATACTTTTAAATATTTAATTTCCTCAATCTATAAGTCTCTTCATGTTTTCAGTTCAAGTATTTGCCTTAAAATTTTATTTTCAGACATCCTCAAATTATGCAGATTCAGGAGGCGAGGAGAAATATTTTCATGAGTTTTTCACAAAAATAAAAACATACAATGTAAGACTTGAGGTTCTCACAACAAGTTTATTCTCATTTAAGCCTTAATTATCAACAAACATTTTAGTAATACATTTTTAATTATTTTGAATGTCTGTGTTCTATGAAACAAAATGAGCCGGCATAGCTCAGTCACTATAGTGACTGGCTACGGACTGGACGACCGGGGTTTGATTCCCAACGGGGCAGAGAATTTTTCCTCTAGACCGGTTCTGAGGACCACCCAGCCTCCTATCCAATGAGTACCAGGGTTCTTTACCAGGGGTAGAGCATGGCCAGAGCGTGATGCTGACCACTCACCCCCATCTAGTGCTGAGGTCAAGAATGAGTAGGAGCTATACCTCCTTTCCCCCCAAGCGCCTACTTTTTCTGTGAAATAAAGGTGACATTAATAGCATATTGCATGTACTTCTACTTTGAAGCCTGAGATGAAGTTAAGATTAGAATTTGTTGAAATCAGTGCTTACGAGGTAGGATGTTCCAACTCTCGGTTGAGAATTGGATTGTAAATACTATCTCCTGTGCTGTCTCCATATAATGGCTTTATATCTACTGCACCACCAGACTCCAGTGGACCTGGGAGATGAACTATCATGCTGTCAGGAGATGTTCGGAGATCAGGCCTTGGAATTATCCCTTTATCATACGTGTCATTAAGGGGTTCTGTGCTGCTCAAGAGTAATGGCTGTCTTTCTTCTTTTCTAAATTTGGCTGCTTTTGCTGTTGTTGCAATACCTGGATTAAGCTGTAACAAAGTTAACAGTGTTTGGAATTCTATTCTGTTGGAGAAAAAGTGATGATTCTGAATGAACTTGAAAAATATTCAAAAACACTTTACTGAAAAGCTATGCTCAGTTCAGAGATAATCAAAGTGTTCTAAATATATAAATGTAAACCTTGGAGCACAACAGTATATTAACATAGGTGCCAAAGGTTGGAAGTAAATTACAACTCTGTTGCTAACCGAAGCGTCTCATCTTATGGCAGAGAAAAACTCTTATCTCAACAGCAGATGTCACTCAGTAGATACATAAAAGAGAAATAGGAGAAAAGAGAAACAGGAATCTCCAGCTGTGAGTCTTTTCACTAAAAATCAAAATGATTTCCTAAAAGATACAAATTCAGAGTACCAAAACCTTTTCATTTTTAACCTTAATCACAGCAAAAAACACACGTGCACTAACATAAAAGAGACTCAATTATAACATTTAATTACATCTATTAATGTGACAGCAGAACTCAAAGGTTCAACACTTAACACCAAATTCAAACATCCAGACATTATTCTGAGCCATTACATCTACCTTTCAGCCTCACAATCAATCTCCCTAAACTACACTTTGGTTGTGTCCTCCTATCTCATTCTTGGTCTTCCAAGATATTTTCCCATGAAAATCTGTATATAGTCATTCTTTATCTCTTCCAACATAGCCCAGTTCAAGATAGCTTCTTAGATTTCACTATTCTAACATTAATTGATGGCCTCTATAAGTCATGTTTCTCAATATGTAACATCCTAAACAGCTCACTTATTTAATCCTTCTAAAGTCCAAATATTGTTCCGAGCACTGTGAAAAGAAGAACTTGTAATTTATGTTCTTACCTCTCACACCCACACAAAGCAGGAAAACAAATTTACATTGCATTCCCCCGCCCCCAATATTCATAATTTTGGAAATTAGACGTGGTGAACAGTTTTCTAACTGAACTGGCACCCAAACAATGCTACAAGGAATATGGCCAAGTTTAAAAACTTCGTGTCTAAAAAGATAGGTAGCGTGGTCTTGATATCTGAAAAATATTACACACAACTTCTCCACAAATGTTACAAATGTTTAAAGAATTACAAACATGATTGGGTGAAACCATAAATTATAAATTACATGCAACCACAATAATACCAACATACATTAAGACTTCACATGCAAGTTATTTTAGTCAATAAAAAAATTAAATAACTATAACACAACTATAACATTTTGTAACCTATTAAACTCATCTGTTTTCTGTAAAACTATCATAAAAATTCTGGAACACAATATTGCACTCTAATAACATGCAGAAATACTTGTTGTGGTTATATTTAATTACGTTTGTTACCAACAGATTGTTAGCATAAGAAAAGAAATTACAAGTTGTAAAGCACACAGGTGGGAGTATCTGCGGCCTTTTTAAAGCTTCTATTCAGACATTTTCCTGGGGAAACTAAGTACAACTACAAAAAAATGCTTCTGTGAGGATACACAGTCTTCAGACCAAGATTCAAACTGTGACCCTCCAAATATATAGAGGAATACTAAATAAAACACTGCAGTGTTCGGTACATGTTCTAAAAAAACTGATTTGGGACTATAAAAATTAACATAAAAACACATAAGAACTTAATGAGGAATGTTGTAACAATATCCTACTGTATTAAACTCCTATTCATGTGTTAGGACGATTATGCAGCAGCTTATTCGAATAGAAAAGATTATTGTATGTTATTATGTGTTTTTACCTGGGCGACTGGGGTTCGATCCCCGACGAGGGCAGAGGATTTTTCCTCTAGCCTCTGCTTCCAAACCAGCTCTGGGGCCCACCTAGTCTCCTCTACAATGGGTACCGGGGTCCTTTCCCGGGGGGGTAAAGCGCGGCCGACCACTTACCCCCCATCTAGTGCCGAGGTCAAGGAAGAGTAGGAGCTATACCCACACTCCCCCCAAGCGCCTGCATGGCGTATAGTGGGACAAACTTTACTTACTTTTACCTAAAGATTATATAATGAGGAGACCCATCTGCAAATTTCATCTCCAAAATTAATAAATAATTTTCAATGAAATTTGGTATTGGAATGTCTACCAGTGCACTGTGTATTCTCTGATGAATTTAATTTGATTCTAGTCCAAAGCAGTCCAATATAACTCCTACTTTACTGAACTAAGCTATCTCTACTCTGAGATCAGCCCAGTGCCCAAGCAGAGATAGGGACAAGGGTATGATAATGCGATGTGTTGTCTGGGAGGTGATGGAAAACTATGGAGCAAAAGCAGAATTTTGATTATCAGGGGGAAAAATAAATTAACCTTCTCTAAAGCTACTTCGTGAAGTCACACTGGACTAAACCCATGTCTGCTATGAGAAGCCAGCACCTAGGCATCTGAGCTATGGTACAACCGACCCCTGATTTACATTATTCAGAAATCAAACTTCACAGTTTTCTGAAGAATGTATTCATTATATAAACAACTGGTGCAAGGCTACATAATAAACATCATAACTCTCATTATTAGCTGTAACTTCCATCTCAAACATCTTTCGGTATGGTTGTACATTTGACAAAACAAAATGAAAATTATTTATCTATGCAATGTTCCGTCTGTAGCAGGACAAACTCTGAAACAATATACTTGTATCTGCAGTAAACTAACATTAAAACCAAAGAATATATACAATTACAAAAAAGAAACCTATTTGTGTTACAAGACTGAAAATGTGTACTCTTTAGAGTACACTGGCATTACAAAAGTGTCTACGCCACATCAGCTTAGGTGCATTGACGTGATTTGAGGTTCCTGTCGGGTCTTTGGTCTTCTTGCACCATTATCATATGGGTTGACTACCCCTGTGTGAACAATGGCACTCAGCACATTTACGCTGTAAGAATTTTGATATGGGACACCCCCTCCAAAAAAAGCTATCAGTCACGTTGATTACCCTGTAGAAAACGCGACAGACTGACACTGATGTGCTCATAAGATATTTTTCGAAGCTGGCTGTCTTACTTCTACCAGACTACACAGCGCAATAACCCAGAAGACAGCGGTCTTCAGACTCACCGCCGTACAACCTCAAATCCTACAAGGTATTTTTTCGCCCGCGCTAGAGCGTCAAGAACATCTAAACAGCGTGGAAATAGCGTTCAATGGTACTACCTTTTTATTAATTTCAATGGAAACCAGTAAACGTATTCTTCACGACAGGATGATGATCAAAGAACGTAATGATGAACAAAGTTTTAACTTTGTTTTGGAAATCTGGATAATGTATATATTAATTCCTTCCAAAGCGCCTTTACCTGGGGCAGGTTCATCGTCATGCTTTTGCTTCACCCATCTCATCCTCCTTGATTTAATCACCATAATAATATCAGGTAAAAAGTGCAAATTATGAAACTTCTGTAACAGGCCTATGCAATTACCTCAGTCTTCCTGTCATTTACCTTCTTCGATCCTAATATTGTCTTCGGTACTTCATAAAAACATTCCATGTTCTTCCTTCTACGCTGCACGACTACGATTTCACACTCCAAGAGGCGCAGATGTAAAACAGTAATTTCGCCTTAAATATTTACACATGGCACAGGAAGAAAAAAAATTCTGAACTGTTCAGTGTTTATCAAATTTATTCTGATTTTTTACTGTTATTTCCAAGCACAGCATTTGACATAGCACACACAAACATTTTCCATTACAGAGGTTCCGCGTTGGCTAATTTCCCATAACGCGTCTGACCTTTGAGAACTTCTGTAGACTAATCAGTAGACAAAGGAACAAATATATGTCACTGCTGTGTGGAAATATACCAGATTCTTCTCTCTCATCCTCCCACACGCCGCTTTGGGAAGATAATCTTAATGGATTTCGCTTTTAAAACGAGTATTATCATTTAACTCGATCACGTTCAGCAAACTAACTGCCTGAATGGAAAATTTTCCTCGCCGTTACAAGTTTGTTTATTTATTCAAGACTGAAGGAATGATGTTACAGTATTTTAAAGCCGTGTTACAAAACATGAAGAATAAGATCACGGAGGCCCCATCTTAACGATAAAAGGAAATCATGTTTGCCGCGTTGCTGAAATCCAGCACTTTCGATGCCTGACCTGTAAACCAGGCATGGGTAGACTTTAAGGAGCCTTGAGTCGGATCTAGTTTCCTCATCATGGCCGTGAGACATAATATCATATATCAATTAAGATATTAATCAGTAGTTGAATAAAATTAGGTCAGAAATCCAGGACAATGCCGTGTTAAAAATTGTCAAACTCTACGCGGTTTGGATAATAAGTGACAGCGGGAGACGGGGTCACTCATGCCAAGTCTAAATGAAGTAAGAGTGGATGCGCACTCCAGAGTGCAGGGCACAGTTCCCAAAAAAGCGCCCTTCGTTCTTCCTGCACATTTATTTCAGATGCGAATATATTGTTGACAAAGCTGATCAACAGACAATGGACATGTAGAAAGGCATAAATTATATTTCGCTTGGATTTAACCAAAACGCATCCCACAGAAAAACGTTCTGAATAAAAGTTACACTAACTAACTAACTAACTAGATGGCTTACCGAACCCGAAGGTTCATCACCGAATTAACCAAAGCCCTCCACCGGACCCTGTCCTGGGCCAACAAAATCCAGTTTCCTTCAACTCCTATCTCCCATAGATCCCGCCTGAGATCATCCTCCCATCTACGTCTAGGTCTCACCAGCGGTCTCTTCCCTTCAGGTTTCCCAACCAGTACCCAGTGCACACCTCTTGTCCCATCCATGTACCCCGCATGGATGGGACAAGAGGTGTGCACCGGGTACTGGTTGGGAAACCTGAAGGGAAGAGACCGCTGGGGAGACCTAGACGTAGATGGGAGGATAATCTCAGGCGGGATCTATCCGAGATAGGAGTTGAAGGAAACTGGACTTTGTTGGCCCAGGACAGGGTCCGATGGAGGGCTTTGGTTAATTCGGTGATGAACCTTCGGGTTCGGTAAGC